ACGGCCTTGGTAAACAGGTCATTGAGGGGCCTGATTACCGTGGGCCGTCGCTCGTCGCTCGTCGGGGCAGCCCGGCGGCGTCTGCTCGAGTGACGAGGCCCCTCGTCCGACTCGGTGTGGTAGTTTTCCGAGTCGGACGGGTCGTGCCGGTGCCGGTCTCGGCTTCTATCGCGGCGTGCCCTGTGGCTCCGCCTGCGAGAGCCTTCCGAACCGGATGGGTCATCATCGGAGGGGTATCCTCCCCCTCCGGCATCGCGGTATCGCCCGTGGCGTGCCTCGCGGTTATCGCGGTATCGCCAGCGGCGTTCCTCGCGGTCTTCATCCGTCCTGTGACGGGGGTCTTCTGCGTCGGAATACCGGGTGTATTCCGCTTCGGTCCTGTGCGTGCCGGGTGCACGTCTTCTGCTCAACCGGTACGGGTCCCGATTCTCTGTCTCGGGGAGCCCCAGGCGGTTGTCTGTCCCGCGGGGGTCGCCCGTACCGGCGAGTATGGGGAGGACATTTTCTGTGGTCCTCCCTGTAGCACCGTGAACGGTTGGGAGATAGATGGCTCTGCCCTCCGGGTGAGGGTCCATCCTATCAATCCCGGGTACGGCGCCGATCGGATCAGCGATATTAAAGCTTGAGCCCGGAACGGTTTCACGGCGCGGCGCCGGCGGCGGTACCGCGCCTCCCGTTTCGGTAAATGTCGTGGCCAGACGGATGGCCACGGCGGAGCTAATAGCTCCCTTTAGAGCCAATGCGGTCGGAGATTCGTCCTCCTCCGCAGCGAGCGCTGCCACCACCTCGTCGCGTACGAGGGGGGCGATCTTCTCGTCCAGCAGGGCGCGGAGCGCGGTGTCCGCATGCTCCGCCACCAGTCTTGGTGCCGTTCGGTCGAGGCAAACCTGGACGACCTGAGGTAGTTCCTCAGCGAGGAAATCCTCCATCCAGGTTTGTAGTCGCGGGAGTAACGCGTCGTACAGTATTTGTACGCGGTTCCCCCCACCAGCCGGTAGCCCGGCGGTGGTGTCCGAAACGGAAGGGGTCTTCTGGCCCCTGGTAGACGGCGGGCGTAGCAGGGCTTCCGGATTGTCGATCCGGGGGCGCTGTGCGCCTCTGCCACTGCGGGTACTTGCTCGCCCGGAGGCGGTATCTTCTCCGGCGGAATCCGCACGGTTCATCGTCGATGATCACTGGCGATCGACGCGGTGATTTTCGACCTCTTTCAATCCGATCGGTAGTTGCTCGCGCTGGCGATCCAGTGCGGGCTCAACCTCTGTAGTTATACCCTCCACAAGAGTACCAAAATGTGGTATAACTACCTTCGTCCCGACCACTCGGAACGAGGGGGGTTAGAGGTAAGGGAGCGCGCGACGCTGGGTAACCCACGCGAGCGCGAACCGTACGGAAGGACTCGAAAAGAGGGAAGGCTCACGTGGCCGGTGACGCGCAGCCGGTCGGTGGTGTCAGATCCGGACGGCCGGTCACGGGTTAGAAGCCTGAGACTTAGAGGTAAAACCGGACGGAGTTAGCAAAAAGCCGTAAAGGGAAGGGAAGCGAGTCTGCCCCCGTTTACTGGAACGGGGCAGGTGCCCCTGGTCTTAACCCCTCAGTGGGACGCCAGGACACCTGTCCCGCTACAGTAGCTGTTACATACTGTATACCAGCTACTGTACTAAATTGGCTAATTTGTGCCATTAACCACTAATTGCTAATTACTTACCGGATGGTCGCACACGTGTGCCCGTGGCCACGGCCGGCGCCAACGGTTGTGTCACGTGTACGCCGTGGAGGTACTACTGTGCTCGCAGCGGGCGCGTGCACGATTACTACAGTAGTAACCGCCCGTCTCGGGGGTTCTCATCTCCCACCGGGGGTCGCGGTGTGGAGTTGTACCACAAGTCCGAGCTGGACCGGAAAACGCATTTATGAAAAAGGATGCCTTTTGTACCGGTGACAACTGCTGTTGCATCGCACAAATGTTGTAGTCCCTTATCGTGAAGTCAATAGATTCCGATATTTTTCCAGAGAATTTGCTGTCACGAAAGTACTGATGCACCCCTGTTGCCTTTTTCGGGTCGTCATAGGTTACGTGTTGGGCGATCTGAGGCTCTTCTTGTGAAAAAGGAGGCCTGATATTCTCTCGGTTTGGTGAAGTAGTACGGCTGAATTTTTTAGACGTTTCTTGCGGATCATCCAGCCTAGGAGGCGTAGGGTTGGTCTGAAATTCGGGAGAGCTGATATTGATAGTATCCGCTTTGTAGTTCTCTACTTCGTTTTCAACCGGGACGTGTTTGGCGATATTCGTCAGAATTGTGATGTCATTATGACAGCGATATGCCACCAAAATGTCATGGAGTGACTCAATAGGCAGCTTCAAGGCATTACCAAGCCAAATATGGTTCATCAGTGTCTTGTCAGCTCGAACGGTTGGGTCAAAATTTTTCATCATCTCGTTCGGAACGGTCAACACCTCATAAAATTCGGAAACTTGTCGGAGAACCATCACAGGGAAGCAAGGTTCGCTGAAGTATTTTGTCGAAAAAAAGAGCCGTTCGTGGGAACCAAAGAAGTAATATGTTCAGATATGATTTCTTTGTCCTCTTCTTCGTCAGGGGGATAGCATTCCAAAACAGATTTGGCAGCTTCGATAAGCTGCTTGCCGATGTCGGATTTCGATGAAAAGGTGGTACATCGACGTATTAGCTTTTCGTGTTGAGCCTTCCTTTTTTCGGCATGTTCGAGACTTGGATCGACCGGGCGTTTGGAGCTCTGCGATCTAGTCGTCATTTTCCAGAATCGTGTAACAGCAAATCCGGATTGTCGCTGCACACGAGGGTCTGGGCTGACAGCGCGATCTCAGTCCAAGCTGAGACGAGGGAAGACGTTGTCAGGTAGCGGAAGCGGTGGTGAGTGTAGAGACGCGTGGGGGATCGAGGCTCTACGCTTCGGCGCAGGTAAATGTAAAGTGACGATGGTCAGTCTTTACTTAGTTCCCTCTTGCCCTCGCTAGATCGAGAGAGGTGGTAGTCGCAGGTATATAATCGGACGGCGGCGCTCGTGGCTGAAAGCCACGAGCCAAAAGGCGAAAATAGAGTGGTGTCCGGTACTGTACAGGTACTGTATAGATGCTGTACAGAGTGGCCGGCTCCACTCCATCGACATATTTGGTTCTGACCGGTGGGGGCGTCCTTTTTGAAATATCAAATAACCAAAGAAGCAAATCACCAAATTCCCACCAGCCAATTGAGTTCTAGAAAAAAAGTGCCAAGTGTTCTTGTTTGGTCATTTGATCACCTACCGGTGGTGATGCTCTTAATTAGTCTAACGCGGTGATTCAAAATAAACGATCTTTTCGGCTTGCCCTGACAAACGGGGATTGAAAAAACCCTGAGGAAGTCAGGAGTAAACGCTGACATCAGTGCCGAATAAACACTCTTGAAGAGTACATAGGTGAGGCTGGCGCGTAGGTGACTGGAAGACACTGGCAATGTCCGCAGATAAGATCCACTTTCTTTTCCTGGACTTATGTTACTTATGTTTTACTCGACGCCATGGGAAAGACACCGTCAACACCGAACTGAGTTTCATTCCGCGACAGACCACATCCCATCGAGAGTTACCAGTCATTCGTGGTCAGATTTCGAAGAGCCTGGCGAAAAATTACCATTGAGCATCCTTAAACTCATTTTTTGATATTTTTTAAAAACCAGATACTGTACAACATTCAGAGATGCAGCACGTGCTTCGAACCTCACTCATTTTCTGGTCTTTTGGCGAATCCACAGTAGTAGCGCTCCTGTTTCGTAAGGCTCGGAAGCCGAGTAATGTACCGCAACGAAGTAGTCACCATCCTAATTTATTTATACATTCATAATGTTTGCTGTATATGAGGCAAAGTGAAGGTCCTCTGAAGGGGGCAAGAGGGCAGAGCCTTCTGGCTTGTCAGCCATAAACCAGGGAGATTGGCGACAACATGATTGCATGCGTAAGATGTGCAACACGTGTGCGTATTCGATACGGATGAAAGAATTGCAACTGTAAACGTTTTGCAGATACTGTACTGTACTGTACCAGATGCGTGCTGTAATGTGATCAGGATCAAGCTCTTCTTCACGGATGATGTCGTCGAGAAGATGCAGCTTTCGTGAAAGGGCAGAATAATTTCGTTTGAAGCCAGTTTCTGAATATTTCGAGAAATGTTCACTTTTAGGTTGGTGACGGGATCTTGGAAATGGCATTGTCGACCATTCCTGCCACTGACCTGCAGACATGTTTTTGGGGGCATGCGGGACATGACAGCTTTGTGAGCATGTCGAATTTTTATGGAATTTGCGTTCGAGGTAATGGTAAGCACCCCATGCCAGATGCGTGCTATTACAGTGTAATTTCATGGGTAACATTATGGATTGAATGCATGGGGATGGAGGGGTTGAAAATGTTTGAGTAGATTTGTTGAAAATGTGGGGAACAGCGAGAAAGTCGAGAGGCAAAGGTGTATGAGGTGTGGAGAGGGAGGGGTGGGCGCATGAGAGTGATGTGTCTTGCAGTATGGCGCCTTTTTGGACCCAGCGGCTAAAAAGTAAAATTCGGAAACTCGCCATCAGCATTCATTTTGGTGTGACTCGATTATCCTCTGCAACCACATTTCAAGCGCCTGCGCCTTCCCATTACGCGCCCGTTTCTTTTCACACCACCGCCTCTATAAATCCAAGCAGGAAATGACGCTGAGAATTATCTTGTCATCCTGTCCAAAACATATCTTATCTTCTCGCAACACGTTCGCTGCCTCATCCCCCCTTACTTCCCTCCTCGTAACCTCTTGCAGGCTCTCAGTCTGCCCGCGCCCCTACACCTAGTCCCCCATATACTTGAACCTGCGTGGCCAAACACTATCCAACGCTGCCCCCTCCCTTACGATTCGTTGACCTTCCCATTCCCCGTCTCCTCCACAACCACTCCCTCACAACTACTACAAGCCCTCTACTGCTGAACTCTGCACTCCCTCTCTCATCGCCATGGCCACAACCGGCCTTAATTCCATCAGCAAACCTTTCGACACGATGGACTCCAAGTACCACACCCACGCCTCCTTTATCCGACCTTCATCTCAACACAATGCCGATTACGACGGACCTCTCATGGGGCGTACCTCTTACCGCTGGTCCTTCTTAGAAGAGCCGCAAGGCTGTAAACTTACCGTGGCTGATATCCAAGGAAGCCGATCCACTACTGCCTGGTTTAAACCAGACGCCCCAGGTCCATATACACTCAATCTGTCTGTCAAGGGACACGGCGCAACCTACGCCGACGCCATCAAACTCCGTGTTGTGGATGTCGATGATGAGAAGGACGCACATCTTTTGAAATCGGACGATCTCGATCAAGATTTTTTTGTAATTGGCTGCAAATTTTCGGACAAGTCCGATAAGCAACAAGACGCCGTTTCACCCTCTGCATTGTCCAAGCCTTCTGCACAAAAGAAGGCTTCCGCAAAAAAACGAAAGGCATCCATCCCTTCCCCGGCGTCATCTGCTTCCCATGCTGTCAAGACTAAGGACTCGGTCTCCGAGAAGCCTCTTAAGCGTTCGAAGAACGACATCACAGCTCTCGCAAAAGCAACAGCAAAACTAAACGTCAAGGCACAGATCAAAAAGTCTAAGGCGAGAAAAATGGCGGCAAAGGCCAAATCACGAGGCATCTTAACCAGTGATTATGATGATGATAATGATGGCGATTCAGGCGATGACGATGACGACGAGCAAATAGGTGGAGGGGGCGGATACGAAGATGACGATGACGACGAGTTAGACGCCATGGACAGTGGTGATGATGATGAGGACCTTGGCCCACCCAAAGAGAAGACCGATCAGGGTGGTGATGAAGGCGATGATGAGGAGGACAGGGGCGAAGGAGGTGAGGGAGATGGAGACGATGACAGTGCCGATGATGATGAAGACGGCGATGATCGGGAAAATGGAGATCAAGGGGAAGATCACGATGACGATGAAGAGTCTGACGATGATGATGAGAATCAAGATGAAATCGAAATTGAAGAGGAGGAAGAGGAAGAGGAAGAAAAAGACGGAGGAGATGCAGGCACTGGTCTCGGAGATGACGACGATCGCGAGGGCAACATAGACGCCGACCAGGACGACGACCAAGACAACGAGAACGCCGTCATGTCCGACGACATGAAGGATGAAGAAGATGATGGCGATGGCGATGATGACGTAGATCCTTCACCCCAAGATCCTGTAGCTGCCGAGGAGGATGATGACGACGATATGATGGACGGGGAGGATTACGGTCAGCCACAAGATATCATTCCAGAACGCGACGAAGACGACGATGATGACGACGATCTCGACGAAGACGGCGGTGGAAACGATCCAGTTAATGACGACGATGATGACGATGACGACGACGACGATGACGACGACGATGACGACGACGACGACGAAGGCGAGGAATGAGACTAGAAGGGTGCCGTGACATGGCCATCCTATTGCCTCTCACGAAATTTGAGAAGCGTCAAAATTCAGTTGCGGCACCACAGACAAACTTTGTCTTTCAATTTATTAAAGCTGTTGTATCAACACCAAGTTGAGAAGTCACTGGAGCTCAGGACATAAACGAAAGAGGGCATCTCCCACATCCCTGAATGAATCTGCACCCAGCCTTGCTGGTGCTGGTAGTTTCTCTGATCTCACCATCGACATTTAACCTTTTGATGCTCTTCATTCGGGACATGAGACCTATGGGTGCGCTCGGTTTTCTTCATCACAGTCTTGTGTTCAGCTGGGATCACAGGAAGGTGAGGTACTGGAAGCATTGCAGGCTGGAGCAAAGCACTGCTTCAGTCTCGACTGGGGAGAAACCCGATTGCGCGATGAACACTGTCTTGGGCAGAATTATGAAGCGGAAGCACTTCGGCACTGCAGGTATTTGTAGCAACTCTTGCAATGTGAACCACACGCAAGCCAGAGGTATCATCGTAGCTCGTGGAAATCTCACCCCGGGGGCAAGACTAAAGACGTATGAGGACTGCTTTAACTCTGACCGTGCTGAGATATACGAGCAAGTCATTGAGCTTGTGATTAGGAACAGGATGGATTTGCTAGTCAAAAGACGTCCTTTGAGACATGTTTCAATGTTTGTGGGCAGAGCTTTGTCCAAATTTAATAAGGCAGCTCTTCGTGTCTCATATGCACGAGCATTTAGTGAAACGTACTATCATAGTTTGATGAGATGTCGACGGCTTCGCTAGTGGTTTATTGGTCTTTCTTCTTACTCAAGCCGCCAGTCACAGACAAACTGCAGCTTTGCACATGTGTTTCATGGCCACTTTTTCTCAATGTGTCGATGCAAACCATGCAATGTTGAGGTGATGGAGGGAACAGGCTTTTTGTTATCCGTACTGGCGGACCACTATTTTATGCATGGTTTCACTGATTGGACAACATCCATGTATTGTCTGTTCCGGTACTGAAAGACGCACTTACGCCTGTCTGCACTTACGATCGAAGGTAGCAGACGCTACCTTCTCAACGCCATGAGACGAACAATTTGCAGTCTCTGTGCTCGTCCAATTCATGCGAAAGCATTGACGCATGTGTGATACTTGATGTTGTCCTACGATTCTTAGAAATACGAACTACAGTTCCACTTTTACGTACCTCTCTGGGGTCGGCTCCTTGTACTACGTCCTTGCCTGGGTATGGCGGAGAGTGACTCATTGTATTACGATGATGCCTGGGCTAGGAAGGTATACTCAATTCGTAGCCGACAACAGCATTGGTATACAAAGGTTGTTCGTAAAGTCACGAAAACGCGTGTTTTGGCGGCGTGTTTGCTCATGTTTTTTAAACGAAAATCTTTCAGACAACGCGTTTGGCAAAACTCACATTATACCGAGAACCCGGGGCACGTGAGTTTTCCACGAGTTTCACATCCGCCTGATCACAGCAGTGCCGGATCGACCCGTCTTGACGGAAAACGAAGTGGGGTTTCCGTTCTTTTCATCAGCACAAACGAGCCTCAGACTGCACCGGTCGTATCGATATGCGTCATGGACGCCCCTATCGGTTCATCTGCGCAGACTCCATCAATGGATCAAAGCGCGACAGGATCTGCCACAGATGCCGCCGAAGCAACCGCGAAAGATAGACAAGTAGAAGCTTCTAAAAAGCGGTCCTCTCCAAACAGCCCCCTCAGCCGTCAAGAAGACGAAACACATCGCCCTTTCGACTGAGAACCGAAAGGTTCTCTATCTATCCTTGTGACGAGCTACAATATTCGCTTCAGCGAGTATTCGCGCAGGTGCACGTGATCCGTCGGGCGGCACAAGGATGTACAGTACCAAGGGTACTGTACCAGACTTGCGTTTGTTGCGGGCAGGTATAGTACCTTGCTGGAGGTCAGTCCGCAAAACTCGTGGTGGAATTTTTCAAACTCGGGTGGGTTTACTTTACGTCCAGCGAGTTTGTGGGCAAATGGAAAAAAACAACGCGTTATTTTACGGACAACGTTACTGAACTGGTAAGTTTTTATTGGCTTTCAGGAAAATTGGAGTTTTCACGTTCTCCTACTGTACCACATCCGTGAATATGAACTGATGCAACGTGTGCAACTTTTCAAATGGCGCCAGCTCACTGGATAGGATTTCTTGCCTTGCCAAGACTTCCGCACATAGGCATCTGTGGCTTTCATCGACACCTGTGAGGCCAGTTCCAAGTACGCATAAAGGAAGTGTATTCGGAGCAGGGCAGCAGAGGCGCCAAGAAAAGCATGAGAACATTTACCTCATGTGACGGTCTTTCCATTCGCGTGGGGGAGAACGCGGCGGAGAATCAGCGGCTTTGCAAACAGGCAAAGCAGAACGACCTTTGGTTTCATCTGGAAGGACAGTCGTCTCCACATGCCATATTATCAGTGGGAGGCGGAAAACAAGGAAAGAACAACGCGTTGCGTTCTTCGTTGCACGAATGCCAGCAACTCGTGAAGCATTTTTCGTCAGCGAGGTAAGGCTACGTACTGCACGTACGAATCCGACATACGGTTGAGACGCTTGTCACTTATTCTTACGTTGCGAAATGTTTTTCGTTCTTGCTTGCTGGGTTTATAACAGAGAAGCAAGGTGCGCGTCGGTCATCTGGATTGAGGCTAAGTGGGTGTCAAAGAATGGCGTAGAGGACAAGGTGGGGGCTGTTACCCTGAAAAAGACTCCGAAGAGGACAAGTGTTGTCGCGGATGCGGGGACGATAGAAAGTTTAACGGCTGCGAAGAAACGTGAGTAGAAGCACTGTAATTAGCGTCTGTAAATGATTGGCGCGAAAAAAGTGATTCAAAAATTCTCCTTTTTTTGACATGCTCCCGCCAAAACACTCGTGACAGGCGATCACCGAAACGGCCTGCACATTTATCATGGGCGTGGTACTGATGTGCTGCGACGCCAGTTGCCCCCACGCCCCCCCGTGCAGTGGAGCAGCCCCCAACGTAGAGCTAGGCTCGCCCCCGTCATCGTATCCTCTGACCAACACACCAGAGCCGCAATCTTTGCATGAACACGGAAACAGATGTCAGCCCCTTCCACACCACTACCGAAGGGCCCCACACATCGCCTCGCTCTTCTTGAGGCCAGACTAGATGGCAAAGAGACTACCAAACCCCCGGCTCCCCTCCCGACAGAAGAAGACGACGTCCGAAGCTTCTCCTCTGACGCATCTCAGCTTCGTGTTTACAACCCACGTCGCCGATACGCACCGAGAGCCCGCTCTCGTGATTCCATTCCCAACATTTCCAACAAAAAGCGCAAGCGGTCCTCGCCGGCCGCGATGCGCAACACCCGCGTCGACTCTTTCTTTAAACCGCTCACACCACTTGGTGAAAAAGAACAGCCAAGAGAGGCCAAGAATCCGAGAAAGTCTTTGAAGGAGGGCAGAGTCCCTAGCGACCCTGATGTTGATATGACTCCTACCCGACGTCAGCTCTGCTTCGCAGAGCAAGACGCCTGCGACGAAAATAACAGCGAATCCGTTGCCAATGAAAGTTACAAGTATTTTCGAGCTCATGTAGACAAGTTGACAGCTGAAAACGACAAGCTTCGAAGTGAACATGATCAAGCTGAAGTCTTGCGATCTGAAAACGAAGACCTCCGCACCCAGCTGGAACTCGAAGTACCAGACTTGCGAGATCAACTAGCCAAGAAAACAGTCGAACTGGAAAGCAGCGTTGCTCGGGCTGATGCGCTCGCTGTGGCTTTACGTGATATAGTGGTGCTCTTGGCGAAAGCCCAGCGCCGTGAAGCAAGGAGCAAGGCGGTGAATGATAGTGAGCGCTTGGGTAAGGTGGTCGTGGAGCGCACTCGTACCACGTTGAACGAAGTCTGGGAAGATGGTGATGAATGGAAGCAGTTAGAAGCGGATCTGCAACGGATACAGCTTGAACGGGAAACTCTGGAGAAGAAGCGCAAAGAAGTCTCCAAGAAGAAGGCCCTCGCTCAGAAGATGCAAACTGCACACTCAGAAAATCAAGGGAGAGAAGCAGAAGTCGTCACCCCAGCGAAATCGGCCAGCCGAACAGAAATGCCACCTCCGCGCAAACCGAGATCGCGATCACCAACTGAACCCTTCGAAGAAAGCCTCGAATATGTCTCAGAACAAGAAGAGATCTATCGTGTGCAGCTCCAGCTGCTCAGACGGGAGGAATCAACGCTCCAAGATCGTCGCGTGCATTATCTCCGCAAACGGGATTTGATAGTTCGCGAGCTTCGCCGTCAAAATGATGAACGCCAGTCGCCGTTCAGCAATTTTCCTGTGCTCAATGATCGCTATGTGGTGTTGAATCTCTTGGGACGTGGTGGATTCAGTGAAGTCTTTAAGGCCTTCGATTTGCGGCGTGCTACTCATGTGGCTTGTAAGATCCATCAGCTCGCGTCGAACTGGAGTGAGGAAAAAAAACGAAGCTTCATAAGACATGCGTGGCGTGAATACACTATTCACAAGTCCCTCAAACATCCTCGGGTTGTGCAGTTAGTGGACATTTTTGAAATTGACGAAAATACTTTCTGCACCGTGCTTGAGTACTGCGAAGGCTGTGATCTTGACTCATACTTGCGGTCGAATAAGACACTCGCGGAGAAAGAAGCAAGATCGATCATTGCGCAAGTTTTTTCGGGGCTTCAGTATCTTGCTGAACAGCAGAGGCGAATTATCCACTACGACCTGAAGCCCGGTAATATTTTACTGTACAAAGGTGAAGTTCAAATTACTGACTTTGGACTGTCGAAAATAATGAACGAGACAGAATCAACGACAGATGGAATGGAGCTGACCTCACAAGGTGCTGGTACCATGTGGTACCTGCCCCCAGAATGCTTCGAAACGGGTCAACAGGCCCGTATAAGCGTTAAAGTGGACGTATGGAGTGCGGGGGTGATCTTGTTTCAAATGTTGTACGGCCGCAAGCCCTTCGGTCATGACCAATCTCAAGAAAAGATGTTTCGTGAAAAAACTGTGTCACATCAAGAGCTCCAGTTCCCGACCCGTCCCGGCGTCTCAGAGACTGCGAAGGACTTCATGCGCAAATGCCTCACAAGAAAGGCATCCGCTCGGCCAGATGTTCGCCAAGCTCTGCTTCATCCCTTCTTTAACAAACGATGACGCGCCCTGTAGTAACATGGAGAATCGCTAATCGCTATGAGCAACTTCGTCGTCTGAACCTATCCCCATGTATCCTCGTCGAAATCCCCGGGCAGGAGGCCGGGGGCATGTCCGAAACTACAGAAGCGGCTGCTCCAACTCGACACACTCGTATTTCGCAAGGATTTCGCGACAACTTCAGGCAAATCCTATTCTGAGCTGTGTTTCCAACATCACAAGCGACTCTACATGCCCGCACTAGATGACCATTCAACGAGTCGACGATTCAAGGCAAGCGATGTGTACATAGCTGTCGCGGCTCACTACTGAAATTATACGCTTGCGTTTCTAACCACAAGTAAAATCAGGTGAAGCGCCCGAAGCCATTGTGCATAGCCCGCCCATGTCCAATGCTGCTTTCTTCTGGAACTTTCATTCAACGTGCATGCAGAAAGTTCCCAGGGAAAATCTGATATTTCACTCCAGCTCGTTCTCATGCTGATGAGATGCGCGCTTACCAACTGTACAGCATTCCGTGTTCTAATGAGGCCAAAAGCCGCAGCTACAATGCCAGGTCACCACGGATCCACCTGAACCCAAAGCCACTTCTGAGATTGTCCATGGCTCCATCTCTCACCCTCATTAAAGAGAGTCAGCTCCTGTAGAAGTACCTCCGATTGGAATCTAACGTAGGCGTCCAAAAATCAAGCCACTAAGCATAACCCCTCAAGTGTTTTCTCAGAGAACGGATCAACTGTCCTGAATTCCTGTTGTATTGCATTCCGCAGGCCACTTTTGCGGCCATATAGTTTTTCTTGCGGAGGAGGCAACGAAATGTGTAGCTCGAATGCATGAAGCATCATTCTTGGCGGTAGCACATTTGGGTCTTTGAAGTACACTGAATCATCATCGATATATGTCGCATCCCCTACAATGGGCATTCCAGCATTTGCGCAGTGCACTCTAAGTTGATGGCGACGACCACTCTGAGGTACGAGCAGAAGTTTCGTGACTGGCGCCCCCTTGTACGACCCGTGCGCAAGCGGATAGCATTCTGTTAAAGAAGCCCGACCAGGATTGCCTGGCGATCCTACCACCATTTTGTAGCCCGGTGGTTTTGTATCTGCAATCGCTTGATCAAATGTAAGAAAGCTTTTCCGATTATCCATGTCAGTAACGACCTCAATATCATCTCCGACATGGCCGTGCACAAGCGCCAAATATATTTTCTTCACGGATCGCTTTTCAAACTGCGTGGCAGCCACACCGGCAGCTTTTCTTGTCAACCCAATCATCATTACGCCCGAGGTTGCATAATCAAGTCTGTGCACAAATCGCACCCCAAAACCCGTCTCCGTTTTCGCTTTTTCAACATCAAAACCTTGAGACACGATGTAAGATAGAGCAAGCTTTTCCACAGTGTGCGTGAACTCGCCGTCAATGCGAACATCCGGGGGTTTGTCCGTGATCAAATATCTCCCCGCTTCATAATGCAAGACTCCCAATTTTGGGGCCACTGGCGGTAGCCGCCCAGGAGTTGTCGGCGGAGCGTCGCCTTCCTTCTCTCGTGGACGTATCGTGGCTTTTTGTCCGGTTACCATACTGCGGTTTGCAAGCACAGCTCTGACCTTCTCAGAATTTGGTAAACCGCTGTCAACCTTCTTGTCATGTCAAAGGCATTTCACATTTACGTTTCCGTTACAGCTGAAGTGTTGCCGCCTTCACGAAACACTGGTTTCAAGCAATGAACCCAAAACTCCAGGCCACACCTTGCTGTTAATAATGGTACAACACAAGAGTAGTACTCAGGCGTATGCATCTGCGATCACGAGGATCCTCGCTCTGCAACCGCTAGCTAGAGTACGTACTGTACCTTGAAGGATACCTTGCGAAGGTTTTTACTGTAGTCATGTTAGGCAGTGTGCTACAGTACCCAAGGGTACAGAACCTGCGGAAGGTACACGTACCCTTCGGCACAAGCACAGCGACAATTGGCGGAGAGAGAGTACGAAGTACTAAAGGGGGGGCACGCAAAGATGAGACATTCACCTAATCATGAGACAACATAAATTGTTGCAAAAAGCCCACAAATTGCGTTTTGCATTGCTGGAGCATCTCTGGTGATACAAAACGCCGGAGAAAAGTCACTGTTGCTCGAAACTGTGTGGCTAGATTCAAAAACTAATCTTTCCATTGACTTCCCCGCCCAAAACAACCCCCCGACCCATCCTCTTATAGACTTCATATGAGCACAACTGCCTTCAAAGTGTCCACAAAGTCCCTCTGTACACTCTCAAGACTGCCAAACAATTGAGCGTTGCACCAACCCAGTCTACCCCATTATGCCGGCATCGCGAAAACGCGTTGTAGCACCTGCCTCAATCAATGAGGCACTTCAATATGTGCGCGACAAAAACACGTACCGGGCCGCTGAGACCAAGTTCGGCATACCACGGGCAACACTGCAGCGAAGAATGCACACCGCTGTGCAGAAGCAGGGAAGAAAGGCAGCCTTCACAGCAGCCGAGGAACGAATTGTCGTCGGTTTTTAATAGAAAACGCTAATAAGGGGCTGCCCATGACTCAAGAACACCTTCGTGAAGCCATTCAAATCCTCATTTCACGAAGGCCTGCCGCACGGCGCCAGCTTCTGCCAGCTGAGTGGAATTTCAAAGCACCGAGCAACGCTTTTTTGTACCGTTTTCGTCAACGACACTCCAAAGAACTAGTCTTTGCTCGACCAGTTACTCAGGAAGCTGTCCTCTTTCGCCAAGTCAATTCTGAGACCATTACCAATCATTTTGCTACTCTAAAAAAGCTCATCAGTGAGTATCAAATTGACGCTTCCCGATTGTTTAACGTCGACGAATGTGGTTGTACTCCAAACCGCGATCCAGGTGCAAAATCTCGGGCACGAAGGTTGATGCCTCGCCGCGGGGCAAGGGACATGCGGCGTCCTGATATTGCGAGCATGGCAAGAATTACAATGATGCCTGTTATTTCGGCTGCGGGAGAACACGGTCCGCCATTGTTTGTAATGAAAGGGACTCGAGTTCCCTACAGGATTTCTATATGTAATGGGACGGAAGTTGCCGAGACGCCGCTGTCGGTCCTTCCAAGACACTCTGTGCTAGCGATGAGAGAGGAAAATGGAGGCGTGGATCGCCGCAATTTTATCAGTTGGGCCCAAAAGTTCGTCCTCTATGTTTCTGATCTAACGGAGAACAACAGAAGCGTCCTTCTCGTTTACGATGGATACAAATCGCATCTGTCACTGGAAGTTCTTGAATTATTTAGTCATAACGTTGTTGTATACGTCCTTCCTTGCCACACGTCCGGCAAGACCCAGCCATGTGACTCAGTTTTGTTCTCCTCCTTCAAACACTACATTGACATTGGTTTACAGAACTGCATGTTGCATGCTGCAGACCAAGTTTTTGATGTCTACGATTTTTGCAGTGTGCTGCGGTATGCATATGATATGTCGGTTACTCGAGACAACATCTGTGCTAGCTTTTTACGATCTGGACTGTGGCCGTTGGACCCATGTCGTATCCTTGGCAACCCTCGTCCAGCATCCGCAATGGTCGGTGCCCCCATCCTGACGGTGAAGGAATTGGATGCTGCCTTTAAAAAAAAGATGGCTGAAACTAAGGAAAAGATATTAGGCTCCGATGCAGTAATGACGGCGTCCGGGTTTGAGGATACCACGAATGGTTGTGTCGTGACTGCACCGCAAGCCCTCGATTTGGTTCGTAGAAAGGAGAGAGGCAATGCGCGCAGGCGGCGTTCAAAAGAAATCAAAAAGCTGGAAACAGAGCTCACACGAGTCATAAAAAAATCCAAGCCTGCCACAAAACCGATCACGCAAAGCGCCACGTCGTGGAAAATTGTTCCGAGGTGGGCATCAGGTGAGAACACGGTCCTTAGGAGAGCGTCGATTGGTGGCAAAGCTTCGCACTTTGAAGGCGTTGCCACTTTGAGCTCGTTTCGCAGAATATTGGGATGAACCGAAGTGACGTGGCAAAGTCGGTTTAGTTGAAATAAAGGCAAATTATTGGGCCAATTTTTGGGGTTGTCCGATCTTTCTGAGAATTTCCTCTCTATTTGTCCATAACAGTTCCAATGCACGTTTAGTCCCCTTGTGACGGTACTGTTTACAGGATTCTCGCCACGCACAGAGGTCTCATTGGTAACGACGTGACAGGTTGATTGATAGTGAAATGAGTTCCTAGAGTGTTTGCGAAGCAGAGTTATGATGCTAATTGGCAGTTTTTGTCCCATCTTTGCGTGCCCCCCATTTATACCCCAGGCAAGGATCCGAATCCTGCAAATTCAAGCGGTGAAAATCGATTGAAAACTTTTAAAATGTACTGAATATTTTTAAAATATTCAGTATGTTTATTTTAAATTCCTAAATTTTGGGGCCAATCCGCCAGCGGATAGAGATAGGCATTTCACTCAAGATCTTTATACAGTATGCATACCGTGGGAAGCCAGGAAGTATCTAAACGCACACCCCAAAATACAGGTACTCTGTATATGCATTTCGCCGAACGTTTCTGCTAGTCCATACCCTTTCTATCGACAAGGAAGTACTTTCAAGTTTGCAAAAGCCCGTGCAGATGTACTTATCGTCGAAATGATCAACTTCGACCCATTGCAATTCCAAGGCATATGGGCTGGCTTTGAAAATTTCATTCTCGATCATTACAACACTGGTCGTGGTCGGAAGAGCACCGTCACGGCCAAAGACATGTTGTTTATGACGATGACTGTCATGAAACATGGCGGTGACTGGGCATTTCTTGGAAACATGTTCAATTTCAAAGGCCCTACCATGGAGCGCATGATTTGGAATTTTGTTGATCTCGTTTGCGATGCGTTTTACGAATCCTACGTGGAGTATCATGCAAAAAGTGGACAATGAAGGAGCTCGTGGCAAAGAAAAAATGTTTTTCTCACTACCCTATGGCGCGGTACGCCACTGATGTGACGTTTCAACCTTGCTTTCGCCCTTCCGGAAGCGTACAAGAGGGCAAGCGCTATTATGGCGGTATGCATAAGATGTACGGCTATAAGGTGGAGGTCTCCGTCTTGCCAATTAGAATAGCCATCGGATGCAGTGATCATGAGCCTGAGTCTGTCTCTGACCTCGTCATGTTTCAACAGATGCAACCGTGGCACCGAACCAATTTGCAAAAGCAAAACGACGAAGACACATTGGAAGACGATGGGCGTTTGGGGGAAGAATTTAAGGACGCTTGGGCAGTGCTAGATGACAAGGGTTACCAAGGCAGTGCTGAGTTTTGCATGGTTGTGCATCCCAGCAAAAAACCACACAATGGTGTTCTATCCCCTGCTCAAATTTCAACAAATCGGCACATCTCAAGCGACCGTATCATCGTGAAGAATTATTTCGGGCGGCTTTGTGGGGCATGGACAGTGCTTGGGAAAAAGTGGAAGTGGGCGGAAGCTAGGTACGACAGTGTTTTTCGCTTGTGTGTCGCACTGACATATTTTCATGTCAACTGCAATCCATTGCGGGCTGATGATGGGGCGATGTTTAGGCAAATTGCTAATCGTTGGTACTCTATTGGGGTGTCCCGACATGAAAAGAGACGTACTGTGCAGCGCAATTATCGCGAAAAGCGACAGCGTCGTATGAATGTAATGTTTCGCGCGTCTACCGTTCCGCAGTACCCAGATCGCCAGCCAATCTATGACGACCTACAGTTGTAAGGTTAACACGGTGGCGTTTGGCAGTGTTGTCGGCTTTGCGTAATTATTTTGTCTTTTTATGACTTAGTCCTCATTTTAGAAGGATATGAGTAAATTTGATGACGCTATATCACCTGATGAGCACCCAGTCTGTACGATTATGGCACGTTAAATGCACCATCACTAAGCCATTGAGCACTCGTCGCCCATTTGCACTTAAGATCTAGTGCGGATGGATTGGTCGAAAAGGCCTATTGTTTGCCAGGCTGTCCTGTAAAGTCTAAAAGGTGCAATGATTTCGTGTGCAGGGGACATACGCATTAGTGCTGCTTTTGTTATTGCCACCCGTCGATTAGTGCAGTCTTAAAGACCGGAACGCGAATAACGCCACGTGTCACATCTGTTACCCTTGTTCTTCTACCGCAGTCCTTTTCGCTGCCAAGGTACCTGAAATATCAACGCTCCTCTCGGCACCAAACACATTTGGGAGTCAATAGTTGTTATGGCTCTGGGAGAAAAAAACGACGCGTAGGCGCTTGACTATAGCGCAGAAGCTCGAAATCACCGATGTACAGGCGAACTGAATGTACAGTAGTTGAGATCACGGAAATGTTTGGAGAACTGCAAAATTTTGGCTGCGGGCTGTCAGGTCTTTGACACTCCGTTGCATCTTAGGTCGACAAAGGGGGCGTTTCCTACTGTCAAACATGACAGAGAACCCGACGCGGAGCAGGCAGACGATAATTACCAAGTGCATGGAAATCGATATGACGCAGTCACAGATTAATGCCGTCTCCGGATAGTGCCAGTTTTTGCGGTTCCCGACGGGGTGCCACCAATGGGTAGGCTCCCTCTACTGGCGTTTATGATTTGATTTCGT